CGACGCCGAGCCCGAGCGCAGCGCTTCCGAGCCGGAACCGGAGCCGGAGCGGGAACGCGAGCGGGAGCCGGAGCCGGAGCCGGAGCCGGAGCGGGAACGCGAGCGGGAGCCAGCACTGCGGCGCACAGAGCGGAGCGCGGCGGCCAGGCCGAGTAAGGCGCGCGGGGCCGGGGGCGGCGCTGGGGAGGGGGCGGGGAGGGTCCTGGCCCGCTTTCCCCGTGCTCTGCGGCGGCGCCACAACGCACACACCCGGGGGCGCGCCGCGCAGAGCCTCGGCATGCGGGGCTGGCGGATGCGCGGTTCGTAGCGGAACCGCAACGCGCGGAGCGGAGCGGGACCCCGGGACTCCTGCGGACTTGCCCCTGCCGGAGTCGCACCCGGGCACGCGAGGACAGTCTCCCCGGCCCCGCGCCCTCGGTTTCGGGGAAATTTCTCAGTAACCGACTCAGGAGGGAAACTAGGGTGGGAGATTAAATGAACGGGGGTTTGCAGAGTTTGAGCTTGAACCCTCCTCCCACGTGCCTTGAGCCAGGAAGTTTGGCCCTCAGAGGGGAGGGTCACTCGCGCCAGGCCCCTGCTTGGCTGCCCACCAAGGCGCTGGCCTGTCTCAGCAGCCTGGGTGAGAGAGCGAGCTTCCCCGCCACACCTTCTTCCCTTTGGGGCAGACTTTGATGTGCGCCATAAGAGGGACCCGAGGCTGACCCGGGGCTGGGTAGCGCCCGCCTCAACCCTGACTCCTCGCAGGCGCCCACTCCTCTGTCCCCCACACGTTTAGCGGCCTGCGGGCTGTCACGCTGTTGGGACCCAGGGCTACCTTCCTGAACCGCGCCCGTGCTATCGTGGGTGGCCAGGCCCACGGTAGGAATGGGAGGGCACAAGTGACAGGTGGAGAAGCAGAGGCTCCAAGGTCTTGATCCACGTAGCCCCATGAGCACCTGGCAAGAGGCTGCCCTTCTGTACTCTCCCCGAACATTCCAACTGTTACACTGGAACCAATGGCTTCACCACCCTGTGCCTGAGTTTCCTTCTCTGAAAAGTAGACAGGATTCTGTTGTGAGCAGAATGTTTAAGGGCTTTGAAACCAAACTCGACTGACCTAGCTGCATGATCTTGGGCAAGACACTTAACCTCTCTGAGCCTCACTTTTCCCATCTGAAACATGAGGAAGGTAAATTGAGAAGGTTAAATGCAATTATTCTCCTGGGATGCCTGGCACACACCCAATACTCGAATGCATTTGGCTACAGGTGTCATTTTATGAGGTGTCCAGCACCAGTAGATGCTGAGGCAAAGTGATTTTTCTCTGAAGTGGTGGGGATATAATGCTGTCCCACCTGCTCCAAGGAAGTATTTGAATCCAAGTCCTGTTACTATCTCACTGGGAAGCAAAACTTACTCCTTAGGCCTGCCCTTTCTCAGCCCTTCCTGGGGGCTCTCAGCCCCAACCAAGGTCTTTCCTCCCTACCTTACTCCCCTCTTTCCTCCCAGTGTGAGAGCACAAGGAAGATTGCTTTTCCTGGGGGTTGATCAGGCTGTCAGGTGGCTTGGACGTGCTGCTGGCAGTTCAGAAAGGCAGCGGGAAGCAACAGGGAGAGGAGAGACTGCCAAGAGGGCTGGGGGGTGCCAGCCCTGACTCCTTCCTGACTGTGATATGTGCATCCAGGCGACTAGTCACAAAGCACCCAGAAATAATGAGCTCCAGAACAGAAAGGAAGCTGGTGACTGAGGGATTCGAATTTACGAGCTGGACAGTCCCCAGGTAGTGATCGGCCTGACTTACACAGCTGGGGTATTAGAACCAGAGCAGAGGGTGGATATGCGGATACTTAGGGTGGCACAGAGGATGTAGATGGCCAGACACATCGGTGGAAAGAACACAGATGTAGCTTGTGGGCACTCAGGTGGGTTCCTTGCCACCTATGACCTAGCTGCTCAGAACGGGGGATGAAGGAGGATTCAGGCAAGAAAACAGGTCCACATGCTGCCAGGTGGGGACCTGCTAAGACCGGCAGAATGGCTGCCTGCTCTGGGCTCCTTCTACATACAACTCCTCTCTCTCTCTCTCCCTTCCCTCCCCCACTCACACACTAGGATGTCACATCCCTGCTTCTTCCATAGCCCTCACTCCTCATCTTCTCAAAGGAGTTCATCAGAAACTAATTAGGTCATGTCTGCTGGTTCACACAGGATTTGGAGCACAGCTGATAGGGAATGTGATGGGGTAGAAGCATGATCGGCAGTGTTTGAAAATCATCAGCTGGACACCCTCAGAGGACTGTTACCTGAACCCTTGCCCTGGAAACACAGAGTTCAGGGTGAGGGGCAGGAAGGCATAAATCTATTCTCAGCCTCTTAAGGAGAAACTGAGGTCGGGGGCTCCAGGGCCTCTTGGCAAGTGAGCATAACGTAGCACTGTGGCTGAGGGCCCAGCTTCTCAGAGCCAGATGCCTGGGTATACAGCATGATTCTGGGTGCTTTCCAGAGCCTCAGTACTGTTGTGAAATGAGAATAAATAGTATACACCTCCCAAATGGTTGTGAGGATTGAAGAAAAGGTGTGTAGCCAGCATATAGCAGTGTCCAGTGGCTCTGGCTGTGTTATGAACAGGCATCATACACACACAGCCTTTCCTAAGCACGGGCATTTTCTCTTTGAGCTCTACAGTACCTCTCTGAGATGGTGGTGGTGGTGGGTAAGGAGGTCCACAGATTTCAGTGAGCACACTGAGTCTTAGAAAGGGACTCTGCTAGGTAGAGAATACTTAAACATCACTATGACTCATCAGAATTTTGTATGAGTTTGTAAAATTGATAATTAGCACGTTGTAATTTAGATGACATGTAATTAGTTATTGAGATTACTTCTCTGTGAAGATCTTCAATCATTTTTATGTCTGAGAACTGAAAAAGAATATGTTCATATGTCTACAGGCTATAGAATTTTTAGAGACACCTTCATTTTTTTCCTCTGCAGACAGTAATCAAACTGATTTAACTAGCTGCTTGATTTAAAAGAGAAATCTCATTCATTACCTATGCCCTTCTCTCCATTTTTCTTCATAGAATTTCTCACTCCAACATCTATTTATCTTACTCAGTTGTTTATCATCTTCCTTCACCAATATCATGTGATGTTCACAAGATGGACCTTTGACTCTTTTGTTCCCTGTGTTCTCAGCATCAGATGCTTTGCAAATTTATAGTGTCTTACAAACATAAAGTCTAGTCTGGTTATTATTTTTGTCAAGTGTATAGATTGATTGGAAACAAAACATTGCAGTTCATGGAAGAAATCATGCCCTCAAATATTTGACATATAACACTTGCTTAAGCCAGGCATGGTGACACATACCTGTAACCCTGGCACTCAGGAGGCTGAGATAGTTCCAGGCCACTTTGGACTGCATAGTGAGTTCAAGCCCAGCCCAGGCTACCTGGTGAGGCCCTGTCTCAAACACAAAACGGAAAGACTTGCTCAAATATCAGGGACAATTGGATGAAAGTGAAAAATGTTGAAGATTATTTTCATAATATTTTAATAAGGTTTGTTAGGAAGTTCAAAGACAAGTTAACTTTTAAAAGTATTTTCAATGACATGTTCAAAAGGCAATTATATTAGCTTTAAATTTTTCAGTGAGTTAACTATCACTGACTTATTTACTTAGTTGCTTTTTACTTTGTTAGCACAAGGTTTTTATCCAAATCTTCATTTTAATGTTCTTTTGTGCTATAAAAGTAATATATGTTCATGCAGAAGATTTACAAGATTGTAAAAATACAAAAATCCTCCTTAACCCCACCTCTGCCCAGAGAACGCAATGGCTGTGAACATTATATTCTATTTCCTTTCTAATCTTTTGCTATGTATAAATCTATTCACTAGGGTTTTTTCTTTTACAAAATAAGAATCGAGCTGTATGCACAGTTCTATAACCTGGTTTTTTAAAAGCTTGAGTTTTTTCCTTTTAACATTATACTAAAAGTCTTTATGTTATTAAAATTCTTGAAAAAACATGATTTCATGGCTTCATAATATGCCATTGTAAGTGGGTGCCATAATTTGCTCATTCTATCCTCTCTTGATGGCAACATTGAGGTCACCTCTTGTATTTCGTTGCTGCAAATGATGCTTGTGTCTCTTTTGGAGTGTTTGAAGGTCTGAATCAGACTTCTCTATGTATTTGGTTGGGATTTATTTGCCAGCTTACAAATGGACTGGCATACGCAGGTAGATAGGAAATAAAGCCTTCTATGTTGGGGCCACAGTAGTGGTGGGAAGGGATAGCAGTTGGTTCTATAGAGGGCCAGTCCGGGTAAATTAAGGCAAAACAGAGACCCAGTAACCTCCGAGTACATCCTGACCAATCCAGTAATACACACATGTGGCCAGATGTTGGATGGAGACAGAAGTCCTCCTTGCCGCAGAGGCTCTCTGATGGAGGACCAAGCTGCCTATTGGCAAACCTCAAGGCCTCCTGTCCATCTCTTTGCTACTGTTTTTACTTTTTTTTTTCTTTTCTCTACTTCTGGATTCCTTCATCCCTGCATTCAACCAAGGACAAACATTGTGTGACTTATCAGCACTTGCCAAAGAATGTTCTTCACTGGGGAAGTCCCCAGCTGGATCCCAACCTCACATAAAGAGATTCCTGGGACAGGAGAAAGGATTTTCACTGCTTAAGGACCCGACCTGCATGCCCACGAGTTAGTCCCTGCCTGGCCAAGGTGGATACAGTGCATCTCACCAAAGTCCCTGAAATTCCTGGCTTCCTTCTGACTCTGCATCATCCTGTGCCTACCCACATGTCCATGGAACCCCTGAGATGAAATTATTTGCGCCCTCAGTAGTCTCTGAGCATTTCCTGTGTTCCTGGCACTGTGCCAGGTGGCAGGGACACGGAGGTTGTCCAGGCCATCTAGACTAGCAGTTTCCACCCTCCCATCTCCATCATCTGTCAGTCACTCACGCAGACACAGATCATCCTCACCCCGTTTCTCACCTTCTGCCATGGACTCATCTCTCCCTCCAGCCCACCCAGCATGCTCCTGCCTGGGGCCTTCACCCTGTCTACTCTCTCCTCCTGGAGTCCCCACAACCACCACCACCGCCTCGGCTGGCTTTCTCTGGCCTCTGCTTAACTGTCACCCTCCCTGCAGCTGCTGAGACTAAATGTGCAATCTCACCTGCACAGCTGCCTCCCTGCTGTCATCTAACAGGTTTTCCATTGCCACTGTCTCACCTCTAGCAGCAACGTTCGGTGAGCTCACCACTGTAGCCCCAGCGCAAAACCTGCTACACAAGGGACTTTGAGTAAACACTAGAACCAGTGAAGGTGGCCTCCCTGCTGCAGTCACCACTGGCTTCATTCAGCCCCTTGCCTCAGGCTCAGTCTGTCACTCTCACCTGGTACAGCTCCACCCTGAGCCCACCTACACTTTCCCCAAAGGATAAAAAGTTGACTACACCAACTTCCCTCCTTAAAGTCCTCCTAGGACCTCTCTGGGGCAGGCAGCTCACTACCTCTTCACCCCCTTTATTTTTTTGAGTCTTGGTTGTCATCTGTAAAGTGGAAACTTGTTTTGAGGATCCAGTGAGCTGGCAGCAATTGAGCAGGTGTAGCCTCCAGGGCAGGACATCACCTGGCCTCCTTCACAAGGCCAGCCATACCCACAGCCCTTCCCTGTCCTCCACTGTGAGGCTGGTGGCTCCCGGGTCCTGCCCACCACACGGGTCTGCACTCGGGGCTCCCAGGCACCACACCTCAGGAGAAACAGCTGCTCCCCCTTCACACGCTCCTCTGCGCGTGTCTGAGTCACCATGAACCCAGAGTGGAGGTATTCCAGGAGCAGGGACGTGAAAGGGAGTACAAGTGACGTGAATCTGCCACACACTATTGAGCCACTTCAAAGCCTGGAGTGCCGCCCGCCCACCCTGTGTTCCCAGCCAGACAATCCAGTTGGAGATGAGTCACCGTCAGGAACAAGCTTCGGGTGCTGGGCTCAGAGAGGCAGGCAGGGGAGCAGTGACCCCGGGTGTGTGCCCACACTCAGCCCGGCTGCTGGGTGGACACACCCCTGCCCAGCCAACCCCATCTCATCCCAGTGTGCCCCACCTGTCCATTGCCCTTCACCACAGCTCCGGTCACATGGAAGGAAACCAGGGTGAACACTGGCTTATGTGAACACCCATAGCCAGCTCCTTTGCCTTGGAGACTCCAACAAGCTCCACCCAAGCAACAGGTCTGACGGCACCAGGAAATGGCTCTTCTGTGGTCATAATGAAATCCTCAAATGGGAGAGGGAAGGAGGAAGTAGATAGTGAGGTTGAACATCTAGTTTCTGCTTTGGGATCCACAAAGCCCATTTTGTTTTTCAAGCATTTTATGGGACACAATATGAGCAGTTGGTAAACAAATCAATGCACACAAGCTGGGGTGGGTTGCCGGGAGACTGCAGCCAGAGGGAGCGTGTAAAGTGCAGATTGTATTGCAGGATATGGGGAATGGTGGCCCTGGCTGACATGGGCATTGTTGTCATCAGGCTAACAAGGTGTTTAGGGAGAATCTCAGGGCTTCCTTCTCAGCAAGTTGAGGATCATTCAAAGGCAGCCCCAGCACATCATGGTATGCTAGCAGCCGGCCATGGTTGGCTTTATTCCACATTTCCACGTACTTCTGAAAGTTCCCTCAGTGGCCAGGCCAGAGCAGTTTGCAGAGCCACACTGACCCTCCATGACCCTGAAGAGCTGCTTGTCTAGAATAATTTAGGACAGTTAGCCTGGAAGGATATCCATGTGCTGCAGAAGCCCAGCCAGTGCGACCATTTTGTCTGCACCACTCAAGGAGACTCTTACAAAGAAATCTCTTGAGCTATCTGTTCACAGCTACATAGAAGTTTGCCAGGTAGGGGGGGAAGGAATGATATGCCGAGGGGAGCGAACAGCAACCTGGAAGAATAAGGCACCCATTGTGTCCAGCCAGGACTCCAGGGCAGCAGTCTCTATGTGGTATCCCTGGCAGTAACTGAGGGGCACTGGGGCTGACAGTCTTTACCCACAGCTCTTCCTCCCTGCACCATGACCTTGGGCAGGTTATCACTCTGAGCCTCGGTGTTTGAATCTGCAAAATGGAAGTGATATTTCCTACCCCAAAGGGTCTGTTACAATAACACATTGGTGACATAACCTGACACATGCAAGTGTTTGGTTAGTATGACCCACGTTTGAAGGCCCAAGTGTCCAGAAAGTATCCACATACGGGAATGTCTACCCCTTGCCAGCCACCTGAGCCACTTAGGAACTTACACATTGTCCTCCAGACTCCCAGACTGATGATTGAAAGCCATATGTCAGGCAGTCTGAGGGCTGCCCTGCCCTGGAAGGCCCATCCCCCTCCTCCCCACACCCTCAGAAGTCACAACCTTCATCTCAGAGTCGCAGGGCCCAATGAGAGGTGAGGGGGACCTACAGGGCTCTCTGGGAGAGCCAGGACCTGAGAGACAATGTTTCCATGGCGTTAGATGTCGCCACAAGTAGTGGTAGAGGAAGTGCAATCAACATGCATTTGTTAAACACCTATACTGTGCTGGTTCAGCAGGGAAATAGGAAGGGATCTAGGACCGTGGAGGCTGTGGATACTGGGAAGCTATGGAAGGCTTTGCAAGGGAATGACGTGATCCACTTTGACTTTAAGAGAGATCTCTGCAAACAGCAAGAGAGATGAATTGCCAGCCCACTTTTAGCCCTGTCCCTGGACACACACGTGTGTACACGCACACACAACTTCAGTACGCTCAGGCACACCTACCAATGTGAACGTAGACACAAGTGTACACGTGTATTTTTAGGAAGTGAGGCTCACAGGCCTCTAGATTCTTCTTGAATTTTCTGGTGTGAAATCACAGTTCTCCAAGCTGCCATCCCCAGCAAGCTGGGGAGATCACCTCCCACCCACACCTCCCCAGGTCAGAGCTCGCCCCTTGGTTTCCATGGAGACAGAGTGGGTGTCAGGCCAGGCCCAGCTTCACAGTGGGAAGGCTAAGCAGTGTCAGGAGGGGGCTGCGTGGAGAGAAGGATTCCAGGTCAGTGGTGTCCCCCCAGTCCCTGACAGAATGGACACCCATGTGGCAGAGGGGCTTTCCATGCAGACCCCTTGCTCTGGAAGCAAGTCAGCAGCTCCTGTTCCTTCTGTCCCTGTCAGAACCTGAGGCTTAGAGAGGCAAAATGCTTTCCCAGAATCACACTGAAGCAGCTGAGCTGCTTTTAGCACCAGGGATCAGCCTTGGGAGCAAGACTCCCAGAGAGAGAGGCCTCTGATTCCCTTGTTAAATAGAAGAACCAACTCATTGACACAATGTGTTTAGCCCATGAGTTCCAAAACATGGGACCCCCTGTGAGGGAAAAATAGATAACAAAAGAGGTCCCTCAGGAGGCAAGGGTGGGACCTCTGGACCCACCTCTTCAGGAAAGGTTCTGTCCACAATGATGTCACCCCAGAATCTAGAGGGGCCAGGCCGCTTCCTGCTGGTTTCCCCTGCAAGTGCCCCCTGCTCAGTAGCCCCCAGACCTGCAGCCGAGTGAGCCCACTCCTGTTCTCCCTCCTGTTCCCAAAGCCTCATGTCACTTGAAGATACACCAGGAGAGACTGACCAGGTTCTGAGCTTTAGCAGCATGGCAGGATGGGTTATTTCTTGAAAATGTTCCCTCCACTGCAAAAGACTGCTGAAGTGCCTTCATTACTGTCCTAGACATGCAGGCGTCACACAGAGTCCAAGCAGGGGGAGAAAAGGGGGAAAAGAGGCATTTTCCTTCCATAGTCCAGTGTTTCTGGATCAGTAATTTAACATATCAGGTGCCTTCTAAAGGAGTGTGCTGGGTGACCATATGGGCTTTGGAATCAAACAGGCTCAGGCTATAGTCTCGACCTATAGTTGGAAGCTGTGTGACCTTTGGCAAGCTGCATGACCTCTCTGAGCCTCAACTTCCTTATTTATAAAAATGAAGAGGAAGCCGGGCGTGGTGGTACACACTATAATCCCAGCACTCTGGGAGGCTGAGGCGATTTAGCAACTTAGTAAGACCTTGTCTCAAAATCAAAATCTTGGGGCCGGAGATTTAGCTCAGTGGTTCTGTCACCTGCCTTGCAAGCGCAAGGACCTGAGTTGGATCCCCAGTACCAAAAAAAATAAAATAAAATAAAAATCTTAAAAAAGGGCTAGGGATGAAGCTCAGTGTGAAGGCCCTGGGTTCAGTCCCCAGTAGCGCGTGCACACACAAAAGTGGAAGAGAGCACCTTCCTCTTAAAAGTTATTAGAGTAATAATATGGTTTGAGTTAGATGCCAGTGAACACCCTTGCAAAGCCAGCTGTGAGACCTAGAACTAGCCCCTTTTCCCACTCCAGGCCTCAGTTTCCTCACCATGAAAGAAGGACATTGTGTTGACCTTAAAGGGTCATTCCAACCCTGACAAGCTGCTGGGGCTGCCCTGGGCCCTTGAAGGTGTCCAAACAGTGGGATCTCACATGTCCATGAGGCAGGCCCACCCTGTGGAACCTCCAGTTTCTACTCCAGGCCACTCAGAAAGATGCCCCCTCCCCCTCCACCACTGGGACCCCAGCACTCACTGCCCCACCCATGCACCCACACCCTATACTAGGTCCCAGGTGGCTCACCTGCTACCAAAGTCACCAACCTCACCCCCCAGATGTTGGCAGCTCAAGCGATGCTCACGCCCGGCCTTTGGGACTGGTGAGTGCGTTGTGGGTTCCCTCATCACTGGCCTCTTTGTGTCTCCACAGGTGAGTGGAGAGCTCTTCCCTGCTGCGGCGGCAAGAAGACAGAGCTGTGCCTGTGGACAGGCTGGCTCCGCTCTTCTGCTCCAAGGATTACATGTCCTTCAAACGCCCTTGCCCCTGTAAGTCTCCCCCACACCCTCCCACTGCTGAGGGCCAGCCATGGAGGAGCTGGGAGTTGGGGTTGCAGAGAACAGCTGTAGGATGTTTGGCCAAGGAACTGCAGGGGTCTGGCCGGGGGCATGATGGGAGTGGAAGAAACCTGACATCTCTGAGATGCTCTCTGAAAACTGAAAATCCCACCTTGGCCATTCCGGATCAGGGCTTGTGTAGGGAACAGGGAAAGGGGACATTACTAGAATCTCTGCAGTAAGTCCTAGTCTCCTGTGAGCCACGGCAGTACAAGGCGAATTACAGGAAAGGTAGGAAAGAAAATGAGACTGAGAAGAAGCTGAGGTTTGGATCTGATCAGTGCTGCTCTGGGTGGCAAAAACGAAAGCCCCCAGCTTACCGTGCATCGGGAGAAACAAATATAACAAATGACTTGCAGAGAATTCAGTACATCCTGTGTAAATAAGATGTAACAATCCAAGAACAACGAGGAACTGAGTAGATGTTTGTTCCTCCCAGGATGTTTTCAGCTCCCAGGATGTTTCTTGTCCTGGAGAATCACAGCATCACTGGATCATTGAGATCTCAGTTGTGACCAGAGGATAAAATGCAATTATGTCTCAGAATTCCATAGCTGGGCTGTAGGCAGGAGAACTAGGCTAACCAAATGATTTTTCCCTAAAAATTATGTAGCATTGCTCCTGACAGGCTTGTCTGGGGCATATTAATGGGATTAAGCACACACACGTGCACACACACACACACACACACTGTGGCCACATAAGTGTGGGAAGGGCTAAATGAGGCTCACTGAGAAGGCTTTGCCACTGCAGGACTTTTCAGAGCCTTTAATGCCATGATGTGTTGTGAGCCTCCCCTGCGAGACAGAAAACCTGCTGCTCTTCCCAAATTTTAACATGCCCCATGGGTTTTTTTTACTCATCTGGGGCTCCACAGGAAATATTCCCTGGAGCTGACTATCCTGAGGAGATCTGACCTGGAGCCTCCATCAGAAAGCCCCTCGGCTAATGAAGCTGTTAGATGCTTTTTCCGCATAGGAATCTCCTTATGGTTTCAGCCTGGTGTACCCTTCGGGCCAGGAGATGAGCCCTTCCCAGGTCCCCAGCTCTGCTTCTACCAGCTCCTGCTGCCTTAGATTCTGTGGAAGCTACCTGCTTTCTCCCATTACATCTCCTGATCCTCCAACACCACCAGAACCTCTTATAATTCAGGGTGACTTGCATAACTGCCCACGCCTTCCCCTTGATAACTCAGGACTGTGCGTGTGTGGGGGGTGTGTGTGTGTGAGAGAGAGAGATCAGGGACAGACACCTCCCACGATCACTCTGGATAATACCTGTCCCCCTCACTAATGTCTGTTCAGATTTTCACCACTGATTGATTACCTGTCATGCCTCTTGGGGTGGGGGCAACTCTTCCGAATAGTCAAAGCCCCAGTTGTTAAACCTCCACACACCAGGACATTGGTGCAGGGAAGCTGGTGTGTCCCGTCTGGATGGGATCCTCATCACTCCTGCTGGGAGGGGAGGGGATAGGCTGGCAGCTGGGTTCACTGTCCAGAGTGTGTCAGAGTGTGGGGGAGGCAGCCTGGAATCCCCCCACTCCAGAGACTGAGCCAGGAATATCACAAGCTCAGAGCCAACCTGGGGTACATAGTGAGTTTAAGCCCAAGCTGGACTACATAGTGAGACCCTGGATGGGCGGGGGTAGCTAGTGTGGGTACACAAGGAGGGTGTGGATTAAGAGCTGATGAAATGATCTCTCGTGGATGGTACAAGCTCAATAACTTGTTGTCACTGTCATCGCTGTTACGGTGGCACAATCAGGAAATGAAAGCCCCAGTCCCAAGCCAGGGGAGAAGAGTGCTGCTCAGGGAGCATGCCTGCCCCACAGAGGGCTGCAACGATCACTTCCTTGCCCTGCCCTGCTGGTGAGACAGGAGCAGCTAGGAGTGGAGAAGTCTGGAAAAGGTCAAGGCTGGGAATGCTGGGTGTGGAACGTTTTCTAGGACCTTCTGGGGTTGCTCTCTGGCCCTTGGGAGCCTGGCCCATCTATACTAATAGAAGCCATTGTTCTGGCTTATCCCCCATTTGAGCCCCCTTTTCAGATACATTCTAGAAATCACTCACTTATTAAGCAGCCCTGTGCTTGCTCACCTGAAGAGATGAACTTCTAGAACGCAGGGACTGTGCCTGCCCTCTTCCCTGGTGCATCCTAGCATCGTGCTTAGGGCCTGGCATGGAATGGATGCTTAGTAAATGGTTGAACAAATGGGTGAATGAGGAGATGAAGCAAGTGCCTGGTGGGCAGCCTCCCCAGCTTGCAGCCCAGAGGCCCACACATGGGTTCTGATAGGGACACAGGACCACAAAAGCTGTGGACCCCTGGAAACACCAAACACAGAAGTGCTCAGGAAGAAAACCCAGAAGTTCCAGGAAGCATCCTAACAGTCAGGGCCACACCTCACCAGCTCCTTTCCAGACCTGGAGCTGCTCTACAAATTGAAAAACGATAGGAGCTGCTCTAATCCTCCTTGCTCACAAAGCATTCTTGCCAGGTCCCATAAAGATACTGAAGCTAGGGCCAGGGATTTGGCTTAGTGGTTTCGCTGCCTGCTGCACAAGAGCAAGGACCGGAGTTCGATCCCCAATACCAAAAAACAGATACTGAAGCCCGTAAAAACTGTATAACTTCGGGTAGCAGCCAGTTTGTTCCTGGTTGGGTTTCCACACTACTAACTCTTGCCATTTTAGAAGATCAACTGGACAAGTCCCCAGGAGGAAATATAAACCCAGAAACTCCCCAAGCAAGACCTTACTTCTAGGAGTGAGCGCTCACAAGGTTCAGAAAAAGTAAACAGGTCACACCTGCCAGGTGCAGGGGAGAGGGGGGCACAGTGAGCAGGGCCAACCCAGCTGCACGCACAGATCCTCTAGCTCCTGCAAATGCTGAGGAAGTAAGGTCATCCATTGGCCTCTCAGGAGTGAAGCAGACATTAGTCAAGCTGGGCTTAGCCCCGCATCCTGCAACCACAACCCTATTTCTCCTCCAGCTATTCCAGCTCCTCTGTGCTCCTCACAGAGATGCCTCCAGCAACCCCCACTGACCCTCACTGGGCAGATGAGAAGATGAGGCAGAGGGAGGAGGCAAGAGTAAGAACAGGGAAGGAAGGGAAACCAGAGGCTGCAGGAGGGAATCGGTGTCTCTGCCTGCCAGTGCCAGGCCTGTGAGGCATTTTCCAGTCTCGAGAGGACCTGCCCCACACCCAGAGCAAGAAGGAGGATATGCTTGGTTCCTCGGGAAGGGTGGAGGTGGGGGAATCTTCTCCTGGAGGCCCCAGCTAGGCAGGGTGGCCCAGGGCTCCCTCGGGACTCAGGCTTCAAGAACAGATGCTTCACAACCTCTTCTTCATCACCCAGCAGATGGCAGCTCCATGGGGCTCCCTGTGAGGCAGGGGCAGCCTGCTTCCCTCCAGTCTCTGAGGACAGATCTAGAGAAGGAGGGGCTTTAAGGCCCCAGGGGAGACTGAGCCTGTGGCAAAGCAAAATTAAAAAGAAAGTAGCACCCTATAATCATGAAGTCAAGTGGGGCTTGTCTCCACCAGGCTCATCGTGGCTGCCCACAGGCTGGCAAAACTCACAACCTGGCAGGGTCCCTGGTGCCTTGCATCTCCCTCGGAGTCAGTGTGATGTAGTAAGCAGAGCAGGGGTGCAAGTACAACCTGGTGCTGACACTTCCCAGCTGCATGATCTGGAGCAATCTACCTAACCTCCAGAGACCTGAACTTACTTGTCTGTACAGTGGATACAGTAATTTCCCTGGTGGTTTGATGCTCAGATCCTAGATGCCAGTGGGGAGAGCCTAGCCTGGTATCAGGCTCTGAGAAGAGGCTCAAGAAACTTGAAAGTCTTGTCTTTTGGCCACCTTTTCTCTACACAGGTCTTTAGTGATGGAGAAGAAAAACAGAGAGGAGGAGGAGGGTCTCTGGAGGTGAATTTGGAGCTTGGACCATATGTTAACTTTCCATCATTGTATCAAAATCCCTATGATTATCAGGTGGAAAGGTTTATTTTGATTCATGGGCCTTTCAAGATCCAAACTATACCAATCCAGATGCTATTGTTTCCTGCTGTGCTCTTTGTGACAGTTACCTCTGCAGAGAGTAAACTATCAACAAGACTTGAGGGCAAGGAGGGAAAATGAAGGGCCATCCTCCACAATTCACTGCTTCTGTGCCCAGAGCAGGCATTACTAATCAGTTGCAGCACTGTTTCTCCCAGTGAGTCTGAATGCAACCTCAGACTCTGTCCAAACATATGCAGGAACTGCCCAAAGATCATTAGCACTGTCATCAAACCCTCATCCATCCACTGCTGAGGTTGGAGTTTTGGAGTGGCCAAGGGAATAGATGGAGTGAATTCAGCTGGTCATTTTTCCCACAGCCTCAGGCTCCTCATCTGTATCAAATGAGAGTTGACAAGAATACCCACCTCTGAGTAAATAAGGACTAAAAGGTATAATAGATCATGTGAAATAGGAAGAAAAGGGGCAAAGGGGAAGGGGAAGTGGGAGGGGCAGGGGAAAGGATAGAAGGGAATGGAATTAATATGAGAAAATGGAAACAAAGTCTCTGTAAATAGGGAGGGATGGAGGGGTTGATAGGAGGGCAGGGGAAGGGGGAAAAATAACCAAGAGAGTATGTAAAGGTGCAAATGTCCAGTGATGAATGTCATTATATTGTATACCTAAAATGTACCAATAAAATTAATTTTTAAAAATACCCACCTCTGAGGATCGCTGTGAGCATCAAATGAGATATCATGGCAAGGGGGTCAATAGTCGAAGCCCTGCAAGGGAGGGTTGTTGTGCCCATTCTGCACATGAGGAAACCAAGGCTCAGGATAATGAAAAATTAGTCTAGGGGACACAGTAGGGCCAAGCCAACACCCTGAGTGAGTCAGTCTAGGGCTTGATTTTAGCTAAACTTCAG